TTTGATTTCCCGGTGCACTAAAAAGGAGAAAAATCGAAAACTGATGAAGTTGAATGGAATATGCGAGTACTTAATCTCCTGCTTAATTACAGCATTTATCGTGAATGATTTTCTTTGAGCTAGTGGTTCAATAGCCACGTTGTCTTGTATAACAGCACTACTGGGACATCCTCTCATTTCTTCATCAGTTAACGACACTCGACCTGGTTTAAAATTTACAACACCAGCGATGAGCAATTGCTTGGGAAGGACATTATCTAACAAACATTGTTTTGTAGCCTTGCTAACTTTTATCTGTTAATGTAGTAAGGAGCCACAATCCTTTTGTCATTTGCTCTTTTCTATTCAGAACTACTGTGGATTACATTACTTATGGATTACGTTTCAGTGTATGAAAATTGTTTGTACATTATACATATCTCTCTATACTGTTAAAAATATTATATAAATAATAAAGTAAATGCAATAAATATCGTATTCGAATACCCCTTTCTCGAGTAAGAGAAATATTGATTTTTAAGTTCATGGTTATTAAACTGTAATACATATCTGTCGAGTTAAATTCATGAATCTAATTACATGTTAATTTGAAACCAAATCTTGAGCGTGCAATATCTATTAATTGTGTAATATTAATAATGCAACATATATTCCTTATTTTTTTTATAGAACATTGTAATTAATAATAACTTCTTTTTATTCAACAAAATTTTATCAAGCTGAATTCAAAACGCTTATTTACAACATTTTTTTTCTTTTCCTACGTAATTAAAGAATTATAGCAAGTGCTTTCATCGGCAGAAACTTTGAAAATGTGTGAAAAAAAAAGGAAAAGAAAATACATGGTTGCTGGATTAACAATCATTTTATTACATATTCAAACACATGTCCTGGAATTTTTAAACAATTATTAAATGTTTTACGAATATTATTTTGAACATTTAATAATTAAATGTACTTACTCTATTAATTTCATATCTTCCTCAGATGCAGCAACGTTAATCAAGAATTATGCTTTCTGTAACCCCATAAAAAAATCTAACGGGATTAAATCTAGTAACCAAGAGGGTCACAAAACAGGATCATCACGTCCAATCCATTTATTTTCCAATTTCGTTCCTAATATCCTAGATACGTGTACTAATGGTAAAGTTTATTTCCTCATACTTAATGGAATATTTTTCACACTGTCTCTCTATTTCTCTATAAAAAGTATATTCATGAACACAATTGAAATAGCTTAAAATGTATACTTATCTTTACGCTGTATTTCATATTTCGTCGAACTCTTTAACCACGTGGAGTAAAAACGTGTTTCGAGAAAATATTATTCAGTTCTTTAAAACGTATTCAGATAAAAAAAAATTTTAAATAATAAAAGTGATTTTACATGTTGAATGATTAGATTTTTAGTCTCATTCAATTTTCTAAAACAATTCGATCAATATATGCTGCAATTACAGAGAAACCAACGCTTAACGCTCTCTTTGCCCCACCCTGTATGTTGTTTACAAAGACAAAATCGATAGGAAATTACTTACAAATGTAAGTCATAAACATTCATCTAAGCTCTGATCCTGTCGAAATACCCTATCAGAAACAGGAAATCATCAATATCATCAGTACTCATGAACTTTGTTAAATAACTGATCTTAATCCTTTTGCTCGACGTTCGGATATATTCGAATCGGTGTGTTTTACTAAATTTCAATTTAAAAGTAATTCTGTTATCATATAACAAAGCTTAGAAGAAAAATAACGTCATTTATATGACGTACAGCCAAATTTTTCAATATAAAAAACATAAAATGCTGAAAATATCAACATTTCATTTTTTACGGATTCACGGTACAGTCAGAAGAAAAACTTGTACTTTGCTAGCGCAGTGAAAGGGTTGAACGTGTAATCAGTGACATATCATTTTTCTTTGAATTGAGTCACGATTGAAAGCATCTAGCAACACAATAAATATCGTGGCTCCTGCGCTATCGGGGCGAGCATTGTTGGACGCCACGTGGACTGAAAGTGTTTATAAGATTGTGTAAGTAGAATGGTCTAAGTAGTATATTTCAGCTACGATTTCGAAACTTCTTTCGGATATTCAAAGTTTCAGGAGTATTTATATTTTTCTGCCGCGAGATATTTTCAGCATCCTATCAAGAAACAAGTCAACCTGAATGTCAAATATCCGTGGGTTTCCACACACTATCGGTTAATGGTCGTACTAAAGAGTGTTAACATATGAGACATTCACGGGTGTTTACTGTAAAGTGGAAAACATAGAGAAGCAGTACTTTAAATAGATTTAAAATACCTGCTATACGTCGCACAGTTCAAATAAAATTACATTTGAAAAACAAAGCGAAATCTCAGTAAAACATACATACTAATTTTAATACTATGAAGCATAAAATGAAATATTTTAATCTTATATTTCGACCGTATACATAAAATATTGTATTTTTAGACGACACGGGTAAATTGGGAAATTAGTATTATGACTCAATAAACATATTTTATGAAATAAATTTATTTCTAGTTCAAATACCAGTCGTATGTAACAAAATACAACACTAAACATTTTTTTCATCGACGTTTGAGTGCGGAATAGTTTTCTTCGATATACACAGGCTTACGGAAGTATTTATAATCGATATATTTATAATGAAAATATTGTACTCACTGGATAGTAGATATTTTGTAATTTTCTATGATGCTTGAGGGACATGTGAGAATAATATGTATACATTCAATTGAAATCGAATAACACACGTCTGAGATGACCAGTCCTATTACAAATATCGATTTTAAATACTTTTGTGCGCCGATGTATGTAAACAATGTAAAGCATATAATTTTATATGTAGACATCACAAATATGTGTTACAACTGTAGATATTTCTTCATTACTCAAGACAAATGTATGCTATTAACTTCTCGCAAAAATTATACGCCATCGCGCTTCTCCGCACTCAAACAATTAACCTCTTCCCCTATAATATTGAGTCACATTCGTGATGAAAATTTTCAATCGAATTCGGCAAATCGAAATGTTGTTTATTTACTTTTTAATATTAATGAAACATTACCTGGTGATTATCAATCTTTAAGCTTTACAGTAAACGTAGACACAGAATAAGCATAAATTCTTTTCTTTTTCTACTAAATTATTAAGGATAAAATAATTTTATCAAGCACAGTTGTGAAAGAAATCATAGAACAAGGGGTTAAACGTTTGCTGGCAATCAATTCAGGATGACTGAATGGAAATATTTTTAAATAATGTTCCCTTCGTTTCAACACTCTCTAAATAAAATGTTATTTTCAAATACAATTTGAAAATTCACTACAACAAAAATATATTACTTTTAAACTGATACGCATTTTATAAAATAAGACAAATTATTTGCTAAGTAATTCGTGTTACACATGGACCGTCTAGACGTGTTAAAAATGATTACCGAGAAAAACAGTAACAGTGTTTTTAATAGAATATTTTAATGAAACAATAAAAATGTGATCCTTCAAACTGTTTAACTAAAAAATTACACATTTATGATTAATACACTACTGTCGATTTATATTTAAAAATTCGACAGTCATGTGAAACTAAATGTGATTACAAAAATGCATGAGAACAGGATGGGTTTTAGTTGCGAAAGAACAGCTTCATGAGCAGGACAGTAAAAATGAGGAACAGAAACCGAGATAAACAATATGTATGTTTTATATGTTATAAGTAACTGCAATTGTATAATGTAATAACGTGGTAGACTTTAAAAGGAAGCATATCCTGTTTTTAATTATATATATGCACATATGATGTATAGCTTAATTAATTTACCTTACAATTAGTTTTGACACAAATTATATTTAATATTAATTATTTTTCTTTTAATAATAATATATCCATTATCATTATTATTATTATTATCCAATAATCGTTTGATTATCTAGAGATGAAATTAGATTCAAACATTTTGAAAAATAGATGAAACAGTATGTTCAAATTATTTGTTAACGTTACAGGAAAGATCATCTAACTTGAACCAATATAAACGTATCGTGAAGTATAAAATAAAATTTGTTTGATAAAATAAAAGTTATTGTTCTACTAAATGAATCTGTTGTTATTCGATGATTTTTTTACAGCATATCATTAATGTAATTAGTTTCGTTAATTTTCATTTCGTATTCATCAACTGGGTTAAAGAATCATTGACAAGTAAGTGTTTAATTAACAAATCGAAATTATTTTTTAAATAAGAAATTTTCAAATATATTATTTTTTGAAACATTCACGTACGTTTGAGTTGATAAAATAGAGACAATAATATGAATTAAAATCCATTAGTTATCAAATAATTATTCGCATTACTTAAAATATACATTTTAAATTTTTTATCTTAAATGAATTTCACCTGAATTCAAATGGAGTTTGAATAACAAAAGTTATTCAGCCAGTGAAAAAGGTTTATCGTAATCCTGTTTATCTTTTTAACCTGTAATAAGATTTTCTCACTCTACTAGACCATATAAAAATACAATACAATTCTTTTACAATAAGCATTGCTTATTAAAACGTAGAATACATCTGTCTAACATTAATTATCGATATTGTTGGTGTTTCCACTTTCTCCGTCCAATCAGGAATTATAATTAAACCGCTTAAATCAACCGCGATGTTTTCAAACTACATAGATGGACAAAAAACACTATATATTTTCTTTCTATTCAATTGTAATTTTATAGTTCCGTAAATATGTCTTACAAGATTCCTAAATTCCTAAAGTGCCCATACCTCGACCTAACTTATCAGTAGCTACATACACCTAATCCTCTGTCAAAAAGTGTAATCCATAACTTCGATATCACCGACACGAATTACCCAAATTGTTCATTCGTAGACTCCAGTGATAGAAACGACTCGACAGGTCGGTGACAAAAACGTGGTCGCTAATAGGGACATTTGTCTTACGCGAAGCGTAAAATTCTCTCACCTGTCGCGTTTCAACAGCTTCTTTAACGTGTTCCGCTATCTCGGCTGCCTTCAGGCCGGTTTCAATTGGCGCGACCTGCGAGTGCCGCCGCGGCTGGATCTCGGTGGTGAGCTCCTGGTAGCAGGATTCTCCGGATCCCCGCCTGCTCCCCGCGATGCACATAGCCCTCCGGAAGAGTCCCGCGACGACGGCGCAAAGGCCGCATTGCATTCCCGTCGCGCTCCCTCGGCTGGACAGGGATCCACCATTGTTCCGTCGACGGGTCCGAGTCCCGCGAGAGCCACTGTCACGTGTCTGGGACGCCAGCTTCTTAAACTCTCCCCACTATTCTCTCGTTCTCTCTATCTCTATCTCTCCCTTTCTCTCTTTCTCTCTCCCTCCTTGTCGCGAGTACCGATACTTCCGGCAATAGTCACGATTAGTAAGGCTCCATCGTTCACAAAAACATTTCTCGACGGTCTTTCACTTCCCCGTATTTCTCTTCCACCCCCTCGACGCCGTGTCTATCTTCTCCGAGATCGCCATCTCGCAGTACCCTCGCGCCCCTAGACAATCGATTCTCTCGCGTACACGGTTCAGGCCGCCAGCTTCGCATCGTATCACCTGCACGACCAAGGTATGTCGAAAAGGGGTCCAAAG